TCAGGTCCGTTAAATCCAGGGTTTACTGTACACGAAGAGAATTTTCTTTCAAAATTTACCTTTTATTTATTTATTTTTAAATAGTGGATTTCACGATGCATAGCATTATAAATCGTTTATATGATTGGACTGGCAGTTATCATTTTGCATACAAGGAGAGAATTTGTTTTAATTTACCTTGAAAATCATGTAATCGTGGGCCAATATGGCATTTCCAAGAATTTTGTGAGAGTTTCTTGAAATATTATCATACACTTTGTATAATTTTACTAGTAAGATGTATGGTACGATTTAAAAAACTCACCAAGTTCTTCAAAATATCACGTCCCGCGATTACATGATTTTCAAGGAAAATTTTGAAAGAAAATTCTCTTCGTGCACAGTAAACCCTGGATTTAACGGACCTGACAGATAATAATACAATACATTAATTAATAACACTTAAAAAAAATGAAAAACAAGATGCAAAAATCTCAAATCCGGTGGAACAGTTGAAGGAAAGCGTGTCAAGTTAAAGTGTCACAGAAATTGCGAGCAATCGAATTCGCTATATGTTATTCAGTCGTAAAATACAAATAATTGAGACTGCGAGTTGGCTGCTCCGAGTTTTAAGCACAACTAGAAAAGAAAACATTTCTTGATTCAACTATGCGCTGCGGTCACGGGCTGTCGAACAAATCTTTCATTTACATTTGTTAATTAGAAAAAAGTACATTTATTTGAATAAATTATGTACGTTTAATTGAAAAACGTACACTCGAATTAATGAAATACCGTCAACTAAGCGTATTTGGTAACGTCGGTAACTTTCTTTTCTCGGCGTGCGTGATTTTTTGGACATTTCCGCACACGGCCCACCGTCTGGTGCGATCGTCACCGGCGGAAAAACATCGCCACCGCGATTCGGTAACGCGTTTTGAAACACGTTGCGCAAACTCAAGGGTAAGCCCGGTGTATAGGCTTCACGTTACCTGGCCGGGCCGACAACAGGTAGAAGAGCGGAGGGTCGCGCCCCTTTTTTATCCAATGGCTAGAGAATTACCACACTTTCCTAGCTGAACGTCCACTGTCAGCCGGGCGATAACGATCGGGCTCGCTCGTCGGCGTATTCGCGATGTGCGATCGCGTCACGAAGCTTCACCTCCCGCCGGCCGATCCCGCCGAGTATTTACGGCCGTTCTCCGCGTTCGTTGCGTGAATTTATCGGGGGTTCAAGTTGGTCAACAATTTTCAGTCGATATAGACGACGCGCGGCGAGTTATTTTCACTCGGGTTAAATTTATCATACGTGTATTCACACTTCGCACTTATAATATTGCGATTTATCTCGAAACGTCGAAGATTAAACGGCGCGGAATGAGGTTCCGACAAATGACGGAATATAAAACTGAAATAAATGTCCGGGATAAATTAATTTAAGACTGATTTCTTTTTCGTGCTCGCGCTCCGTCCTTGCCGCGGACAACCGGCACCGGACAACCCGTCGCTATCGACTAGAGATAAAATTTACGATAACGATCGTAGGAGAACGTTGCTGATAACGTTCGTCCGACCCTAATCACTCGAGGAAGATACGGAAGGGAAGATTGACTGCTCCATGGAAAAAGAAAAAAAATTAGACAAGGTGGACACGCGGGTGACCCTAAACCGCCCGGCCCCGTGCGGAACCGTTTTGACGTTTGACGGATTGCGTAACGGAACGAGAAAGAAAATCCTCTCGCCGAGCGCCGCGAGGCAGCAGGAGGAAACGATACGATCCGTACGATCCGGCGAGTGTTTGCCCGCGTAAAATATTTGCGCGTTAGAGTCGAGCTCAAACACGGCCCTGTCCTGTCCTGTCATTTTCCGTGTGGTGCACGCCGCGCGTATTTGCGCGCCGCGCCGAGCCGCGTTCTTCGACACGCGCGAAAACTTTACGCGCACACGTAGGCGTGTGTACACGCGGACGTATCGCGTGTCGCTGGGCGACCTTCGCCACTCCGAAATTTCTTTGCACAGCGATCGACGGCCGCTTCCCTTCCCCAACGGGGATATTTCGCCTTCGAGGAGAGACCGACCGCGAACTGGCAGGTTTCGTTGGTTGTTTTTATCAATTTGTTATTTTATATTCCTGCGAAATTTTGCAACGCACAGAAAATAGAGATGTTCGTTTGGTAACCAAATATTTTCAATAATTAAATGTAGCTGTTGTTCGGATAACGCTTATGCTTGGCGCTTCTCTTTTACCCTTTTTTAAAAGGGTAAGTTTTCAAGGTGTTTTATATTCCCGCGAAATGTTGCGATGTAGAGAAAATAGAAGTGTTCGTTTGGTAACAAAATATTTTCAATAATTAAATCTTATAGTTATTGCTTGGATAACGCTTATGCTTGGCGCTTTCTTACCTTGTTAAAAAGGTAAGTTTTTTTTGAGGTGTTTTATATTCCTGCGAAATTATGCAATGTAGAGAAAATCAAAATGTTCTTGTAACTGAATATTTTCAATTAAATCGTATAGTTAGTGTTGGGATAACACTTGGGCTTGGCGCTTTTTTATCTCTTTAAAAGGGTAAGTCTTTAAGGTGTTTTATATTCCTGCGAAATTATGCAATGTAGAGAAAATAGAAATTATATTCGTTTTGTAACTGAATATTTTCAATAATTAAATCTTATAGTTATTGCTTGGATAACGCTTATGCTTGGCGCTTCTTTTTCACCCTTTTTTAAAAGGGTAAGTTTTCAAGGTGTTTTATATTCCCGCGAAATGTTGCGATGTAGAGAAAATAGAAGTGTTCGTTTGGTAACCAAATATTTTCAATAATTAAATCTTATAGTTATTGCTTGGATAACGCTTATGCTTGGCGCTTTCTTACCTTGTTAAAAAGGTAAGTTTTTTTTTAGGTGTTTTATATTCCTGCGAAATTATGCAATGTAGAGAAAATCAAAATGTTCTTGTAACTGAATAGTTTCAATTAAATCGTATAGTTAGTGTTGGGATAACACTTGGGCTTGGCGCTTTTTTATCTCTTTAAAAGGGTAAGTCTTTAAGGTGTTTTATATTCCTGCGAAATTATGCAATGTAGAGAAAATAGAAATATTCGTTTTGTAACTGAATATTTTAAATAATTAAATCTTATAGTTAGTGTTCGGATAACGCTTATGCTTGACGCTTTTTTACCTTTTTAAAAAGGTAGAGAAAATAAAAATGCTCTTGTAACTGAATAGTTTCAATTAAATCGTATAGTTGTTGCTCGGATAACGCTTATGCTTGGCGCTATTTTTACCTCTTTTAAAAGGGTAAGTTTTCAAGGTGTTTTATATTCCCGCGAAATTTTGCAATGTAGAGAAAATAGAAATATTCGTTTTGTAGCTAAATATTTTAAATAATTAAATGTTATAGTTATTGCTCGGATAACGCTTATGCTGGGCGATTTTTTTACCTTTTTTAAAAGGGTAAGTTTTCAAGGTGTTTCAAATTGTCGCGAGATTTTACAATTAAAACACGTCGCGGTCTTCCATACATTGCCTTCGATTTTCCGTGTAAAAGGAAGATACCCAAGTGGATCCAGATTGATCGGGAGAGCGGTTCAACGTGGCCTTTAGAACCCGCAGATCTTAGAATCACGAATATCGTAAAAATATATAAACTCTGTCGCTCCCAGCGGGAGCGTAGGGCC